TAAATTATTCCTGAGAGAGTAAAGGATCAGTAGCAGTCTAGAGTGGATTTGACTCAGATCCTAGACTTTATTCTGTTATGGACAGCAGCTTTGAACACCGTTTTATGGCGCAACATGCTGTCTCATGAGGTTGCTGTAATTTCAGCTGAAATTCTTCTATCTGTGTGATGTGGTTTTACTTTGTCTATAAATACAATAGTAAAAACTTCAGCTACATCATGGCCAGATTTGAAACTACATCTTTTTTCAATTAGCTTATTCTTTTTTATTGTTATGGTTACTCATTTTGTCATCTTAATGTATAATTTTTTTTTTTTTTTTTTTTTTACAAAACATCTTTTGCTTCTAGAATCCTCACCATAGCTTTCTCTCTTCCTTTGGGCTTTAGCTTCTTCAAACCAGATTTTAGCATTTAAAGTTTGAGGCTGTCATGTTTTTCATTTGAAATGAGAAGCACTGCTTTTTTCAGAGGGAGAAACTTGACAACTTTCTTGAAAAATTCAATAGAATATGATAACAAATACTTGCCTTAGTTTAGACAGTCTCTCCAACTACCACCCTGCCTCGAAGCCTCCTTCCTAAGAAAAATCATGGAGAAATGTCGGGACAGTCTAACTTCAGCAGTATTTCACATTCTGTCTTAGTCCTCTCACAGTCAGATTTCAGACTAGCCTATGACATGGCAATTGGTCTTGAGGCATTGATTGGTCTTTCTGTTTATGGACAGGGCAGAACTCCTTGCCTGTACTACTCGGTATCCTTTTACTTGGATGTTCAGGTACAGAGTTGAAGGTCACAAGATCATTAGATCATCTAGTCTCACCTCCTGTATACCACAGGCCATTAAATTTCACCCAGTTACCCCTGTGTTGAGCCTAATAACTTGTTTGGCTAAAGCATACCTTCCAGAAAGACATCCAGTTTTGATTTAAAGACACTAAGAGATGGAGATTTCACCATTTCCCTTGGCAGTGTGATCCAGTGATTAATCACCCTCACTGTTTAAAAATGTGGGCCTTAATTCTACTTTGAATGTGTCTGGTTTCAGCTTTCAGCCCTGGGTTCTGGTTATGCCTTTGTACACTAGTCAGTGATTCCCAAACTCTTTATTAAGGCGACCCACCAAATGCCTTTTGTTTTTGTTTTTTTGTGACCCACCAAGATCCAACTTCATGGGGAATTGCAGGAGGGGCACAAAATCATAAACCAGTGTCGTCATCCTTCTGTGATGACCGACCACTATGCCCATACTGACGCCAACCACCTCTGCCCCGGCACTACAATCTTAGTGGCCCGGAGTGGAGGAGAGCCTGGGAAAAGAGCAAACTCATCCTGCAGGGCTGGGCCCAGCTCTGTGCTCTGGGTATTTTGGCCTATCCCTGCTCTATACATCATGATGGAGAGGTGGCTGCACCAAATTTGAGTTAGTGGTGCTGAGGCCTCATATGCTAGGTCTCAGCACCTGGAGCAGAGAGCCAGGCTCTTCACTCCAGCAGAGAAAGGTATGATGGGTTCTTCAATCTAGCAGAGAAAGGTAGAACAACGATCCAATGGCTGAAAGTTGAAGCTAGACAAATTCAGACTGGAAATAAGGTGTACATTTTGAATGCTGAGAATAATTTATCATTGGAACAATTAACCAAGGATCATAGTAGATATTCCATCACTGGCAATTTTCATATCAAGACTGGATGTTTTTCTAACAAATATGATCTAGGACAGGGGTCGGCAACCTTTCAGAAGTGGTGTGCCGAGTCTTCATTTATTCACTCTAATTTAAGATTTCACATGCCAGTAATATATGTTAACAATTTTAGAAGGTCTCTTTCGATAAGTCTATAATATATAACTAAACTATTGTTGTATGTAAAGTAAATAAGGTTTTTAAAATGTTTAAGAAGCTTCATTTAAAATTAAATTAAAATGCAGAGCCCCCTGGACCGGTGGCCAAGACCCGGTCAGTGTGAGTGCCACTGAAAATCAGCTCGCGTGCCATCTTCGGCACACGTGCCATAGGTTGCCTACCCCTGATCTAGGAATTATTTTGAAGTAGTTCTATGGCCTGCATTTTACAGGTGGTCAGACTTAGATGATCACAATGGTCCCTTCTGGCCTTAGAATCTCTGAACCAGGTCACAACACCTGGAAAGGACAGGAGCCACCATTGCAGGGTGGACTTGCTCTCAAACTCCAAACCACCCCCACTGCACCCAACTAGCTGGGCCTCTGCACTGGGCCCACAACCTATCTACAGCCATCCCAATCACAACCCACTGTTTGGGAAATACTGTACTAAATTAAAGAGACTTTTAGTACCTTCTCTCTGTGAAGTTACTTATCTGCTGTAATCAAGTCACCTCTCAATTTTTTTTTTTTTAAGCTAAACTCTGCATTTGGTAATATTAAAATGAATTTTGTTTGACTGGGCCCAGCTCACCGAGCGATCCAGATTGTTCTGAACGATTGCCCTACCTATATCATTATTTACCACTCCCATTGATCTTTGTGTCATCTGCAAACTTTATCAGCAGTGATTTTATATTTACCTCCAAATCATTGATGAAAATGTTGAATAGCATCAAGCCTAGGCATTACTGACCTCTTTACAAGACTTAGCTGAAGTGGACAGTGCAACACTATGATGACTTGTCATTCCCCTCAAACAGGACCTAAAGACTAGTACTGAGCAGCTCTCATACAGTCACAGGGATCAGTACTGTATATTTCTCCTCCACTTGGAGAGGTGGTGAAATGCTGCTTGCTCCCAGAAAGCAGTAAATGGACATCTTTGTTTTTTGGATGGTAAGGCCTTCAAGATAGGAACTGTGCGTTCATATATACTTGTTCAAAATCTACGCCTAGGCTCCTGATCTTGGTTGTAATACTCCTTGGCAAATATAACCACCATCACTTCAGACTTGCCTGGGTATAATTTGAGGTAGCTGCTCTTTAGACAGGTGTTGGTCACGGGCAAACATTTTGATATCTTTGGTCACTGACCTTTCACTCCATTTTTCAAGGTAGCCTGGCAGTCTTACTGCATTCATTACTGATTCTGGATACAGGTTGCAACAGTAGTGAACAATGGATTTTTCTCCAACGTGTCAGGAAACTGTCTCTTCCTTTTAGATGAGGATCCGGCCACAGTGATCCTGGTATTCACCTCATTGTAATTTACTGTACCTGGGCTGAAATCAAAGACAACACAACCCCAATTTGTACAGAATGTAGTAGCCCTTCTTCTCAGAAATTTTTTCAGCTGAGCACATAAATCATGCCAGTGATTTGCACCCTCTATAATCTGTCCTTCCAGTGCTTTTTTCAAATCCCTGGCCTTTAAGGCGGAAAATAGTTTGGGGCCTTGCCATGTCTTTTCACAACCCAAAGTGACAGCTGCTCTCATAGTGAAGCTAGCTGTGGCCAGGTCAAAGTTTAAGATTCCTGGAGCTTAGTCAAGGACCCTTGTCCATGGAATGCCCCACTTAAAGAAATATGTCTGAGTCCAAGCATAACCATTTTTACAGCACTTAACAAGACTTGCTTTTTGCAAAAATGTTGCTGCAGTAAATGATGGAGAGTGGGAATTGGCAGTAAGCAAAGTGCTGAATGTAGGAAAGACTAACAGCAGAGGCCACTATGGACAACTGTGTGCATTTTAATTACAGATAATACAGTGATGGGCACATTTGAAATACCTCCAAAACATTTTGTATTGTAGTTATCAGTTGCCGCGTTTGAATTTGAAACTATGGTTTGCACTGCAGCCTTGGTTGTACAAAGCTGTTCCTTCTGTCCCTTCAGTTAGTGTTATTCCCTTCTCCCAATTACTTCATGTTCCTTAAGTTTACCTACCCTGCCCTGTCCTCAGCTGCTGCATTCTATGCTCTTCCTTGCCCCTATCTCCCTCACCTTCATAATTGCACTCTGCTTGTCTTGAAGAACTGGTGGTAACGTAGCTGTCTGAGCAGCTAGATTCCAAGGCAACACTAATGGCTTCTTTCCCTTAAAATGATGCAGGAGGGTGCCCTAAATAACACGCTAGGGATTCTTTATAAACTAAATGATTCTACCACTCTGTTCTTTTGGTACTTTATCTCTTGCTTTTGTGATTTTTAACTGTTGGCAGTTGAGTGGAGCATTGAAGAAAATAGCCCTCTTGTCAATAGCTGCTAGTTTAGAATTTGTAGTTGTGTCGACAGCAGTATGTTAGTGACCTGATTTGGAATGCTGGAAGCTTAGCAGCATGATTACTTCATTGCTAAGCAACACAAAGTCTAGTTAGTTGAATTGCATATGTTGCTGCTGCAAGTGTGTCTACGTTTTAAAAAAAAAAAATCAGATTTCTTTCTAATCCTGGTAACCTTTTGGAGAGAGTATGTGGGTTTTTTCATGGACATATATAAATAGTGTGCGAATATTACATACTTGCCTATCCAATACATATATTAATAAAAGTGTGTGTGTGAGAGAGAGAGAGAGAGAGAGAGAGAGAGAGAATAATAAACATTCTGTATTATTCATATAATGCCATAAAGTGTGGAGTACTTTTACAAACAAGACACTGTCTGGCTCCAGTGGCTTGAAAGAGCAGTAGTTTGAGTCACACATGAGAGCTGCATTAAGGTTAAGCAGTTGGAATGCTGCAGATTTCTTTAATGTCAGCTGTAGTAAAATAGTTGTATTCACAGTTTGTACTAGCAGTGCTTTTTTGCTTCTAAATACTAACTCTGAATAGAAACTGGTGTAACATATTCCGAATCTTCAGCGATTTGCAAGTTTTGCTCACATAGCATGTATATATATTTGTGTGTACGTGTATGTTTTGAGTGTAATGTACTTCCTGGATACGTTTCATTGCCTTTTTTGCAAAAGGATAAACTACATAAAAGTTGGGAGAGTGTTAATGCAGATTCTGTTCTGATCTTCCTCTGTGTTTCATCCATTCAGTATAAAATAAAAAAGGATGATTGTGTGTAATTCTAATAACTTTGTTTTTATAGGATCTTGTCAACACTGGACTCAGCACTTTCTTCTTTTTCATTGCATCTGTAGTACTTGCTGCTTTGAACCATAAAACTGGAGCAGAAATTGCTGCTGTGGTAAGAAAACAATTCAAATTTCTTTACTCTTGACAATTATTTTTCATCAGAAGTAAAGGGTGACTTTTTCCTGCACCCCATTGGATATTTCCCTCACCCTTGCTCACACATCTCTATATACTTTTAATGGTTATCATCTACACATTTTTGGCTAGTGGCGATGTTTTGATTTCAAGGAAATCAGCTCTCCCTCTATGACATGAGGTGATATTGGATGAGCCCTTCCCGCAAAAGTTTTAATGGTGAGAGCCAAAGAAACTAAGTTTTAGGCTTAGTTGATCAGATATTCTGTAACTTTGAATGGTCATTTGCAAATACTTTATTATTTACTACTTTTAATAAAAGGTTACAGCTATGCATGAAATCAGACTCATTTTAAAGTTGCTACAGTCTTGCAAAATTCTACTTGCATGCTCTTTAGTAAGTTTTTCTTTTATGGGTTCGTAAAAGAGTATTCATTTTTTATTACCACAACCATCATAAGGGCAAGTGAATCGATTTGTGCCTGAACTGGCAAATTTTAATGAGTTTTGCAAGGCTGGGTATAATAATGGTTAAAGTCACATAACTACTCCACAGAATTTTGCAGGGATGAAGTTGAGGAGAAGTAAAAATTAACTCCTTATTTCCTGTGCTTTGAGGGGCCTGATCTTGGGACAATGATCTCTTCCCTCCTTGCCATTCAGTGCCATATGGTAGAGTAGCAGTATTTAACTTGCATTGCTTCACAGCATAATAGATAAGTAAGAGTGGAATTCTCATTGTGGCACTAGGTCATTTATGTTTGCATCACTGGCTTGAGGCCAGATTAGCTCCATAGTGATCAAAATCACTACCATTTGCTGAGTGTTTGTATAAGCAATAAGCTGGTAGCTTCTTTCTCACTCAGTTTCACAAAACCCACAATCTGTGTTTGGCATCCTTGTTAAATCCAGCAGAAAAGCCGAGGATTTAATGGGGAAAGAACTATCCTGTCTCTCTTTAGAAGTCCCTTTGACATGAACATCATCTTGTATTGCCAATGTCAAGGGTGTTCTGTGTCTAGAGACCTTCAATCTTTAAGATCATTAATCTAGTACCTTTCACAAATGCTAAAATTCATTTAAAATAAAAGGCATTGGAGCTGATTTTTATAGGCCACAACAATGTGTCAGTGCTAAGTACAACATCAAGCTCTAACGGTTTTGTTGTGAATCTGTTACCATTTTTGATTTGGAAGATTGCCTTTGACAAAGTTTTGCTGCTGTTTCTTTTAGATATTTGGTTTCTTGGCGATGATAGTGTATGCTGTGAATATGTATTTAGCTGTTAAAAAATGGCGAATGAACAGCAGACAGCAGAACAGCCGGCAGACAAGTGATTACATTCGTGCTCGGACAGAATCAAGAGAAGTAGATCACCACCCTGAGATTCAGCGTCTGGATGCGTGAAAACTACAGCTGAGTGGGACTGGAAAGAGAGGATAGAAAACAGCAACTTTGTATTTTGTTTCATCAAGTGAAGTTTATATAGTTTGAAGTTTTCATTTTTTAGGAAGAGTCTTGGCAGAGATAAGCTGACCATTTATATGTACAGAGAGAGATGTTGATCTACATTTATTCAGAAGCTATTGGCTTGGAGGCTATAATTATTGGCCATTCAAAAGTACGATCTATATACAATGATTACATATATATCTGATGTATGTTAATATTTTAGATTAAACACCTGTATAGTACTTCTTTCCAGGTACCAGCTCTAGAGAAACTTGCGCACTCTGCCACTATTTCATCACCCAGTAGGAATGTTATGATCAACACTATATCGTTCTGTTAAAAGAAAGAAATATTCCAAAACTTAAGTACATTTTATTGCATATGAAAAGAAAGTGAGGGACAAATAGCAATAACATAAGCCAGTTTGAGCGTACACCAACACTTTATACACTTCCTCATGCAGCTTTGCCAATGCAATTCACTTCTCACCTGCAAGACCTCCCACAGTTCCATCCTTGGTGCATCTTGTAGCTGACACAGGCAATCACGTCAGATATTTGGGCTGGTGGATTGGTGATATGGACAGATACACTATGGACTATCCTAAAACCACCAAACTCATTTAATGTATGACCTCAACCAGATTTTGAATTGGGGCTCCTACATGTGAAAGACTATCACTTTTTCACCTGCTGCACAGTCAACACAACCCATCCAACACTAGTATGTAGGTATCTGCTCGTGTTTGAATGTGTATTACATGATTTTAATTCATGAAATACTTTTGGGGGGTTGTCAAGTAATAGACTCTACATCCCAATCAAGGTTCATTTTTTATTTCGAGGTTCAGTCATCTGGGAATTTTAAGGAAATCAGGAGCCACCAAAAATGCATGATGTATATATTGTAGGATATTCCAAGACACTGACGTGTTTTGTGTAGGATAAATACATTTTATGGCATATTCTGGTTTTAGATTGGTGGTTCTGTTAAATTAAAATTGGTTGGTAGTAGGTAAAATAATTTGGTTTAATGCCTAAATTGGGCATAGCTATAAAACATTTTTATAATGTTCCTTTGAAGCTCATTTTAGGTAACGAGGACAGATGGGTGATTGAACCGGTTGTTTTTCTCTGTTTGCGTCTCATGTTTACAGACCATTTTCCTAGCTCAACTTTTCTCACTTCCTTTGAACTTTCAGTGAAGAGACGACTCTATTCTCTGGTTATTGAATTCTGCACAAATATGTCTAGAACCTTCGTCAGAATTTTATTAGGGAGACTTCACCAATATCTTGTATGCTCTGTGATTAAGGTGTGTGTCCCATGTAATAATGGGTTGGCATATGGATAAGTGTTTACAACAGCTTTCTCATTTATTGTAGATGGGAACACAACACCGCGCCACCCCCAGTGGAGTCAAATATAAACCTGATGTACATGAGTAAGATCTTCATGGAAGTCAGTGAAGTTGTATACACTCACACCAGATCTGAGTTTGTTCCACAGACTTTTAGCATTGTATTCGTGTGTAACTATTCCCAGTATGGGTTGATGTTTACACCAATACATAGTTGGAATCATACGTATAAGACACTGTCAAGTCAATTTTAAGTGCAAAATGTAGATTTTTTTTTTCCAAACAGAGTTTTACCAGTCCTAAAGTTAATAGAAATGTTTACATGAAACTTTTTTTTTTTTTGTAATTCCAAAAGAAACAGGGAACGCTCTAGATTTGAACATTCTGCACTGTTCACTTCTCGGGCAATGCAAGCCTTGTGCTGATGCATGAAAACCAGAAAGTGAAATTGTTTCTCTCTTGTCATTCTCCAACTTGTTTGCTATTTACAATCATTCCACATAAACTAGATCTTTTTAAAATTCTGTTTTAATAATTAAATTAAACTAATTGTTTATTTTTAACCTGATAGAGGTCTTTTTATCATATTATCATATTTAATGTTATATTTTACATTTCACTGAAAGTTGTAACGGAAGGGAGTGCTGAGTTTAGAGTCTAATAGTTGAAGTTCTAATGATCCTCTAGAGTGGTTAAGAACATAGCCATTTTATTAATTAATTCCAGTGAAAGCTAGCTTTAATGGGGTGTCACATGAAAACTGACCTATAACTCAGTATGGTTAGCAGTGCTGAATGGAGGTGTGCACTGTGCCCATTGGATAAGCTGTTTTTTCAGCATGCTGTGCCAAGTATTGGAGGGATGATATAATTGGGGTAGTTCATAGATGCTGCGGTTTTAAAAAAAAAAAAAAAAAAA